TCTACATTTTGAACTATATATATATATATATATATATATATATATTAAATTTTAGGAATGCTTTGAGGAATGCCAGAAGAACATCAGTATTCAGTTTCGGGGCTGTGTTTCTAGCTACTATAATTTTCCTAGAAATGAAAGAACGTGTAGTAGTACAGGTACAGCAAACACTTCTATTTTCTAAAGCCTATCAAAGAGAATAATTTATTCATAAATGTCATTACGAATATGTGAATCAAGCATGTATATTTAGTAAGTAGATATTCCAGCACATACTTATAAGAACCCACTCCCTGCTCCAGCTGGACAGTAAAAAAATATCGAATAAGTAAAAAGGAGAGAAAAAATGTGCCCCATTGAAATAAAGTAACTTCTAATTACAACCAAACTACCCGCAAAAATTTTTTTTGATAGGAAATATACAGTGTTGCTCATCATTAAGCAATACTTGGAGGGCAGTAGCATATCAATATTTCGCCAGGTTTCAATGAATTTCAGACCTCAATTCTGTCACAGACTTTTTTCTTGAAATGAAAACACAAAGTGTATGAGCATCACTGAAATCCGTATAGGTCTATATCGACACATAACAAGTTTCACAAAGGATGTAAAATGTAGAAAAATAATGGAACAACATAAAAACTTTTGGTCTAATGGTTGAACTATCTTGTACTAATTTATAACGTTAAGGATTTTAGGTGTCAACCTAATTAATCAAATAAATTGTGCAGACGAAGTTTTTTACCCCATTAAACAAATCTCTTTTTCGTCAAATTCGGACTATCGACGGATTCGTCAAACTATCGAAGGAACTCGCAATCTTGAATATATTGTCCCAAGTCAAGAATGTGATCTGAAGTTTGAGACCCTAAAAGGAATTTTGCCATTTTGAATATTTGATCATACCTTTGGAACTATTTAAGTGAAACAAAAGCCTTAACCGACGCTAAACAATAAATTTGTTTTTCCAAAAATAATTCCACTCAAGAAATATCTTTTTAATTATTTATTAACGTTTTGTGTTTTACTTTACTTGTAATCAAAAGCTTTTGGGTTGAAAAGCATAAGAGAATTTTAAACGTTGCAGCTTTAACGATAAATTACAAATGTTTGAAAGAAAGCAAGCAGTTTCTTGATCGATTAGAAATGAAAGTTTAAATATACTATATAGAGTTAATGTGTACTATATATTAAAATATACTATATTATACTATGGAAATTTAAACACTGTTCTTAGGTGCAAGCGCACCTCACTAGATTTTGGAAAGAGGTACTATAACTAGAAAAAGATATAGAGATGATGTCTTGGAAATACGTACTTTCCTCTTCAGGGTTTCAGCTAGCTTTAATTCAGTACCATAATGCGTGCCACATGTGTTATATAAAGTTCTCTAAATTTATATGAAGTCAGACAGTTGTGTTCAAAAGAGGACAATTTTAAATCGCAATTTCATTTTGGAGCTGAAAACGTAGTTGAAGATCGTGTGGGACCAACTGCTACAGGAAAGTCAAAAGCCATCTCATTTCTTGTCTGAAATTATTGTTTGAAACAAATATAAAGTCGAAAATTAAATAAATGGGGATCAAACCTTTTATTAACATATTTATCTGTTCGATTCTACAACCTCTTTTTCTCATCCTACTTTAAAGGTTATTATGCATGAGCATGCGTGTGCAATTTAAACGTTGAATAATTGCTTTGCTTGTATCTTGCATAATTTCGTTTATTTTTTGGAGTTATTTAGAAATAATCAAAATCCTCTTAATTTGAAACACTAGTTTCATTTAGTTTCTGAAATTGCTTCTTATCTTCGATAGCTTACTTTACATTTTTGAAGAACCACTTATTAGGGTGGGCTGAAAAAAAGTTTTAATTTACCAAACGCTATGGCGGGGAAAAATGCCTCTTGTAAAAAGAAAAAAATTAAGTACTTACCTATTATCCCGTTTACCATTTTCACGTTATTTGAAAATAAAATTGGATGTGATTTAAATTTAAATATTTTCTCACTTTTTGCTTTCAATGAGTTATATTTGATTTTGCATATTGTTTTATGATCAATTACTATGTAAAAAATAAATTTGGAAGATACCAAAATTACTTAAAGGACAGTGGTGGCGAAAATTGCCAACGAAATAGCTCATAAGTACCGAAACTTTAGACTAAAATTTAAAAAATCGGTTGATATATTCCACTCTTGCCCTGAAAATTCCGAATTGCACTTAAAATTTGTAAAAACTGACATTTGAAATTATATGATCAACATGCTATACTTTCGTATGCTTACTTTTTGGTTTAAAAAAGTGAACTAATGTAAAATATCATTATTATTTTAATGCATACTGGCCGTGTGTTGTATTCGATAAGCGTAAAATATCTTAAGTTTTTCAAGTTTCTTGTCGTTTACCTTCATGACTAATCAACTGCCACATAATTGGAAGCGGCAACGACGTCACGGGTGAGTCAACCAATCAGTTTCGCCCCACCAGCATGACGTTACCTGCAGGTATTCAATTAAGTCTTACGAAAATTGATTCAGCGTATTACATACCCAAGCTATAAAGCTATAACATTATAAAGCCATGCACAACCACGTGATTAGACACAATCATGTGATTACACATTTGAATTTTAGGAGAGAAATACTATATCATTTAGAACTATTTTTCTTGGCTCAATCCAGTTTTGATATTCATTCAAAATATATTCACCTCAATCAAATCATTAATTTTTTTAAACACTTGAATTGAGGACAAAATAGATAAAATCTATTCCTCTAGTAGACAATATCATTGTTTTTAGTTTCTTTAACTCATATTTGTCTTTTCAAAATAAATTTAATTGCAGTGAAAGATGGAGTCTGATTTTTGTTTAACTATAATTAATTTTGCAGAATCTGCAGTGGAAGTGCCAAAGAGTGTAATTGCAGAATGCGAAAAACAAAATTGCAAGCCAGCATGTTAGTAAGTATAGTAATTAATTTTCTGATGAAGAGGGCTTTATTAAGGCCGTTTCTTATAACTTTGACTTATTTATTTCTCCATTCTTCTTCAAGGTTAGTATCAGCACTTAAAGCAATAAAAATTGCGCTTAATGTGCAACTGGGTATATGCCCATCGAAAATAAAAAGAACACGAATACGGGTAACCTATGACGTCAGCGCATGCTGATTGTTTATAAACAAGATGGCGTATAAAAGCTGAGCTAAGTTTCTCCTCATAATTTAGAACGCTATATGCCCATCGAAAATAAAAAGAACACGAATACGTGTAACCTATGACGTCAGCACATGCTGATTGTTTATAAACAAGATGGCGTATAAAAGCTGAGCTAAGTTTCTCCTCATAATTTAGAACGCTATATGCCCATCGAAAATAAAAAGAACACGAATACGTGTAACCTATGACGTCGGCACATGCTGATTGTTTATAAACAAGATGGCGTATAAAAGCTGAGCTAAGTTTCTCCTCATAATTTAGAATGCTATATGCCCATCGAAAATAAAAAGAACACGAATACGTGTAACTTATGACGTCAGTACATGCTGATTGCTTATAAACAAGATGGCGTATAAAAGCTGAGCTAAGTTTCTCCTCATAATTTAGAACGCTAATTAACGTGAAGTTAATTAAATACAGAACCATATCACAAATCGAATTTGTTAAAATGTAGTTCGTTCTCATCTACGTTTTATACTTAACTTAGATTTATTATTTGTTTATAAATTCTATGTTAATTATGATATATTTTTGATTTGTGTACCTGGCAATTTAGATGAATAATTATTCATAATTATTCGATTGCTTGAAATATATAGCAAATATAAATCCTTGTGAAAAAATTTAAAATTTATCACTTAAGTGAATTCATACTTGACAAATTTGACGTACTCGAAATAGAATAGAAAGAACAGTTGCTAACGTAAGCAAATGCCACGTTTCAACAACCAATCAGGATCTAGATATCCACACTACGTCACTTGCAGGTATTGAAGTGTATAAAAATAATAAAGCAACGTGTCTGTGGTGATAATTTTAAGATTTTTATGCGTATTATATGTGCTAATTTTACTGCAAACATGTTAGATTAAGCGTTATTTCTCTAAGAATAAACTCTAATAGTACTCTAATAACTAATAAAAAATATTGATTGTGTTAAAGTCGCAAACAAATTTGAATCTATGAAGATTATGATGCAAATTGACTCTGCAAATTTTCCTACCTGGTCCGTGCATTTGATTTGAATTTTAAAATAATTTCAATAAAATTCTTTAATTCCTTATTTCTAAGATCAGTGACTTACCACGAAATAACTATTTGTCAGTTCAATCATATGTTAAAAAATTTATTTGAGTTATCCATAAAAAAAAAGTTTTACTTGTATTTTTCAGCAATAATGAAGAGCTAAAAATTATGTATTTCCATTTTCGAATTATTTATTTCCATTTTCCACATCTTTTTTTAGACAAACACAGTCTAGGCTCTAATGGCGTAGTGGTTAAGGCACCCTACTCATATCCTCTAGGTCGTAGGGTCGATCCCATTTGGGATCACCCACTTTAGGCCGGGATAACCTGGTTGTTAGAGCACTTGGCCCATCTCCAAGAGGTCATGGGTTTGATCCCCGCAGACCGAAGTAGTGTAGTAAATGGTGTCGGGTCACTGAACAGGAGTTTCCTTGTCTTCTGGATTGGTTCAATATTACAAGGCTATGGAGTTGAGCATTAGTAGTCGTAAACAAAAAAATTGGCTCGACTGTTAAACAACGGTTATAAAAAAGCAATCACAACGATGTGCTATGATATTCTTTTCTCTTTTGGTAAAAGTACAGATAAATATATGTGTAAATTCTTCTTAAAATTAATAAAATACTCATACAATTAGTTATGTTGTTATTTGCTGCCGACAAAAGTGAATAAACCAGCAATTGAGGTGTTATAAAATGATTTAGCTAATATGAGCAAAGAATTTATTTTTCTATTTTGTTTTGCTAGTGAAGAGAGTTATGAAGTTACAAGAGAAGTGACTGAAAAGTACATACGGGTAAGTTGACTTTCACCATATTAGTTGAAAGATGATTTCATGAAACACCTTTAAGTTTCAAACCACTGTCAAACCTATTTCGATGTGTTAAACCTATGCCCTTCTGCATTTGTCAGATTTCGATAGCTTTTTAATATTTTCTTTTGCTTTAATATTAATTTGTGCCCACCAATGAGCATATTTTTTTCCATTTTCGATTTAGATTTTAAAAAAACATTTTTAGGGAAGTCATTACAGAGCACCCTGTATATAAAGTAAAGTATGTTTTTGAACTAGTGTGCCTTATTGGAACCTGAAGGCAAGATGGATGGTTTCAAATCCAACTCAGTTCATGAAAAAATTAATAAGGGAGGAAAAATGTCTTTCAATTTAGATACTTCAATGATAATAAAATTTATTTTAACGTTTTTGGAAATGATTGAGATATATTTTGAAGAAAGGTTCTGTTTATTGTATATGATATTTTGTACTCAGTGACTGCAAAATACCTGGTATTAAGCAATGATTGCTTGAGAATTTGGGGATATAATTTTTTTTTTTTTTTTTACACTCGTTCTCTTCTTCGAAACACCATGTTGAATTTCTTGCAGTTTTAAAACGATTTGTGCTAGATTTCTCAAATTTGAGCATTGAGTGCTAGGTGCAATTTTAGCCCCAAATCCTAAAAATTGCTTTAAAATTTCCGTTAATATGTTCCAAGATGTTTGAAAACGAAATTTTTGAATTAGTTTAGTATTAGCCACTGTCATAAATTTAACTGTTTAAGATTTTTTTGCTCGGTTTTTAATGAATTATTATTTCTTACAAGCTCTGTGACCAACGCAAATAGCATGTCTGTCACGGCAACGTTACCGTATTATTTATTATTCCTGAAATTAACTGAAATCACGTGTTTATTTTGTTTTGTAATTGTGTTTTTATAACGCGTTTCTATAAAGCCAAATAATTCGAAAACAATGGTAATTAAAATAACGCAAAATATGTAATACACGAAAAAACAAAATTAGCAGAAAATAGGTAATAATTATTTTAGCGGAAGGTTAAAAAATCAGCTTACTATTATTGACGCTACTGATGTTTTGAAACAGCAGTAGGCAATTACTATTACTGGTGTAATGGTAAGTCGTGCTGTTTTTAATAGATACCATATACCTAATATCGATACTGTTTTAATAGATTTTTTGCCACTAACTTTCCTCTCCGAATCTTAAGGAAGTACTATTAATTACACTGGGGAACGATTTTTTTTTCTGTTGCATCAAATTTTTGAATGAATCTCAAGTATTTTCGTGATTTTCATTTTAAACCAGCAGTTGGTTTCTTTCTACAAGTCGCAGTTATGCATTTTAATAATATATTAGACTAACCAGGAATTTTGAAATTCACTCGAGTGAATAATAAATGTCCACACTTCTCTGCTACATAGGGAGTGGTTGGAAGAAGGCAATAAGGAGTAGACAAGTGTACAGGTACAAATGTAAACATATATGTTCTTAGTAAACCTGTTAATTCAGACAAAAAATAAAATAAAATAAAAATATCATTTTGACAGAAATCTGCCGCTTTTTGAGCAAAACTGATTATAGATTTCAAATCCCCCCACCCCGATTGGGTAAGATCATGTACTAATGCAACAAAAAATTTGTTTTCTATTCCTATCATAACCATGTCATTTTTTAACCATGTCATAATTTTTTCCACCCTAATTAAATTAATACTGTTATTTAATTGATAATTTGATTTCTTTTCCAATATTAAAAATTCTCTTTTAATAATTGAGTAGATAAGAGATTTATACAAACTGTTTTCAACTAATGTATACACGATACAAACACACCTGACCTCATATCGAGGTTTACTGTTTATACTGAATTTTGAGAAAAAGATGTGAAATAATGGAGTTATTTTTTATTAAGAAAAAGACTTGACGAATCCTGAAACGAAAAAGTATAAAATAATACAATCTTTAAATAAAAAAAAATAATTCTATGGTTTTGCGTGAAAAAATAGAAAATAAAACTTTGAGTGTAGCTTAAAATAGTCGAGTTGATAGTCATATTTATTTTTCTAGACATTGCGTATCAAAAATTTATTTTAAGATGTGTTACAAGATTTTCTAATAAAAATTTTAAAGATGACTGATGAAAAGTAGGCGGTTCTTTTTAATAACAATAATAATTTCAAATAAACCGCTGTTTATTTTTTTATTTGATACCGCTGACCACCGATACAAAGAATTAAAATATCAAGCACGTGAACTATCACAAGCATAAAAGCAAAAACGTGCATGTTTACAATTTCTCTGAATGAAAACTCTTTTCTCACGTGAACAACAAAAATTGAACCAAATTTAAGGCATAAAGGCCTGTTTACACGATTCAAGAATATCCATTCAAGACCGTTCGAGATCTTGAGTTGATATTTCTGCTTCAAGAACTCGTATGAATCGTTGACACGATAAAAGATCTGCAATCTCGCTGATTGGCCAGAGGTATAAACCTGCGCATGCGTGACTGTTTATTTTTCGTTTCGTTTTGTTGACAGTGACAGCACAGAGATTGCAGTTTTGAGTTTTTGGCCAAAGCGAAGCTTTTGAACCATGGATGTTGATGATGTTATTGTTTTGTCTTCGTCAATTTTAACTTTATCGGCGGTTTCTCTTTTGAAACAAAAAAACAAAAAGAGATCAACTTGGATAAAAGACTGGAAAACTCCCGAAAGGAGGAAAGCCTGTGGGGCATACTATGCCTTGATGAAGGAATTGGAAGTATCTGATCCCGTAGCCCTTAAAAATTTTGTCCGAATGGACAAACAAACTTTCATGCAAACTTTCAAACAAACATTTTAAATAAAACTTGTAGAACCTAGGTTAACTTGACCTATAAATATATACCATAATACCAAAACCATTTTTCGAAATTACTTAATTTCATTGAGTTATTGAAATTATAATAAAAGTGTACTTAAGATTTAAAATGAAGTATTTTTAAACAAAAAGTGACAATAATAAACAATCTTCATATGATATAGGTTTTATAGAGTAGCACTAACTCTGCAAATTTCTTTAAGATACCAAAAAAGGGATAATTTCTCTCTCAAAAGTTGAGGGGGACTTTGTCCCACTCTTCTCCCTTGAAAGAATCTAGATTTACAGATATTGACATCATCAATAAAATGAATCATACATCCCTTGTTACGAATTAATTCTTTTTGGCGGCGTCAATTCGTCGCCAATCAAATTATTTTTTTTTGTCAGTTGTTCTCGATGCACTCATGCCTGAAGGAGCATTTCTTGAAAGCTCCTATTTCTTATATATTTTTGTTTTGTTTCAGTCTAATTATTATTTGTTTCATTGTTAAGTTTATTAATAAATATAGAAGCTCATATTAATTGTTTTCTTACTGACCAGGGCATCAAATGGTAGAGATACACGCATATACCGAAACTCGAAATAGATTTTCTATCATCCCTTACTATACTAATACATTCCCTAATTTTAATTATATATGAATTTTTTCAGTAATATTCTGACAGATTTAATCTCAGTCAATATTTATGAACTTTTCAATTCTTTATTTTACTATGGATATTTTATACTTAAATTCTTTTTATGGAGGTTTTAGAAAAAAAATATAGAAATGTATAAGAGACTAAAAGAAAAGAAGGCCACGGAATTAAAAATTTATGCAAAAATTATAAGTTCTTATTATTAAAGTATTCAACTTATTACCACTTCCACTTGTTAGAGAATCTAACACCTTTTTCTGTTCACTAAGATACTGAGTTCTCAACCCATAAATTTTATTTCTTATGGTCTCTATATCAGTTTCGAATAGGAAAGACAACTCTTCTAGATGCCTTTGGCGCAGATTTTTATCAGAATACTCCGGGAATTTGCTATTCCATAATTGGGGTCTTTCCCGGTATTCTTCTATTAATTTAAAAACTTGATCCTGAGTCCACTCCATTCTATAAATATCTAGGTACAAATAATGGCATTTTTATTAAAAAAGTAAGAATTAAGGGAGGAAATATGAATTTAAAATACAAATAAATACTTACGAAAAAGCACACACCAGATGAAAATTTTTTAAAACGATTGAACAGGACCCGTAGAAAGTAAAAAAAACGGCGAATGCGTAAAAATCAAATACCTCCCGCTATTCATGACGTTTTCCTATGACATCACAAAATTCTAAAAGATGATTGGCTGGGAGAAGAAAAAATTGAATGTCTTGTAGAACATGCGCTACTACATTCAAGAAGTGGATCCAAGATCTTGAACGAATCGTTTACACGGTACAACATCGATGAAAACAGATTTCCATCAATATCAATCAATCTTGAACGCTTCTTGAACGTAAAACTTGAATCGTGTAAACAGGCCATAAGTCGAGAGGAATTAAAAGATTTACAGCGAATTGTTTAATATTAACTACTATGCTGGACATACCTATGCAGGATCAACAATAATAATTTTAATCACAGTTATTCTTTTAACTTCAAAATGATTAAGTAATATGACAGCTTTACAGTTAGAGCTCAAAGTTCTAAAATTTATAGCTGTGTTTTTATCAAAGTTGTGAATATTTTATAGTCATTAGTTTTTAAAAGCATAGTTATTGTTTTGTTTCCGTACGTTTTTTTTTAATTGCCTGACATTTATTTCAATTTTTTATTTTAATTTCAATAACTTATTATTAACAAAAATTTTGTATTCTTTAAAGAGGAATTAAATTTAAAGATTTTAATAGTTGACTTATATTCTTTAAATTTTACGATAGCATTTTACATTTTAAATGGGTTTAACTTAGCGAGCGAAGTGGGCATGGTTTACAAAGGAAACCATATAAGGTTTCATAGCAATCTTCGGTGATTGGAGAACACCGGTAAGAGGCAGAGCTTACTAATTTTATTTTATTCTCTGTTTTATACAATGTTCGATTAGCCATGGTGGCTCAGAGAATAGGGATCTCGCCTCACAAGGAGATGACCCGGATTTGATTCCCAGTGAAAGCTAGTCGACATGAATTTTGCACTTGCCACTCACTGACCACAGTGCTGACGTAAAATATATTCACAGTTGCAAACAAATCATGCTTTAGAGTACCCTTGCCATCAGGCTAACTATGGGACCCAAGACAAAATTCTTAATGGGACCATCAAGATATTTTGATGCTTTATGTTGGTTTCATGTTGGCCCAACTTCATTTGATGGTAACCAACATCCAACAATTCTCATCATGTCATAATGGATTTTGATGGGCAAACAAACTTCCACGATTTCATGTTGGAAGATGATATTTTACGATATGATGCTCAACCAACATGTTTATGTTGGAAATCTTTGGGCAATAATTTCCATCATTTTATAATAGAAAACGATGCCTTACGATTGAATGATTGATGTATTCCGTGAGTGTTAATCTTACCCCGATTGACGCTTAGCTTCGAAATATCCTAATGACAAGTATTACTGATTAATAACTGTTATTATGTTTTATATGATTATTCAGCTGAAGAGTGCCCTTTTAACAATAAAACTTTTCCTTTTCAGCCTGAATGCTCTCTGGAAAAAGCACCTGAGTAAGTAATTTATATAAATATAAAAAGTCATAATACTGAAGGTCAGAAATGAAATTTTTTAGAAAAAGAATAAAATGTAATGTTAGTATAATTTCGATTAGAGTTACAGTTATATGCTTAATAGACGTTGCAGTTATGGAAATTTTACATCACCTTTACTCTGCAAATTTTTCTTAACTCTGTCTCTAAGCCACTGTAAACTTTACAACTTGATAAGATAGTTTAACATTAACTGAATTTGTAATATAAAATGCAGTTTGCTTGATGATTAAGATAGCTGTAACCTTCCGGGCCTTCTGGTACAAGTTATCAATGTTGTTTTTATACGTTGAACTAATTTTTGTGAAAGTGTATTTTTTTTCGCAAAACCTTTTGAAAACTTAAGTAAACCGAGTAAAAATACTTATCTTCTAGAAATCTTTCTTTAAAATATTTTTTTACCTAACTTTTCTTTCTTAATGGTATTTGGAACATTATAGTTTTTTTCAAAGGACAGAAAATAATCTTTTAAGGGACAGATGTGCAGAAAAATGACAGTTCACCATGAATAACTTTTTATATCATAGTCGAAATTTTGTCGTATGAATTGTACTACATGGTTCGTGAACATGTAACGTAGTTTTTCTGGAAAGAAACTGTTTTTGTCGGCAACTAATAAAGTGTTTTGGTGGTATAGTCGTTAAAGCCATCAGAATTTTATGCACCTTAACGGTAAATTTTTTATATCTAACAGTGCTTTAGAAACAAGTTTTGTAAATCGAGATGATGTTACACGTTCTTTTCTCAGAAGCGAATGTTAGTTTTTTTTTTATGGATGAGTTGTATATCTTCAAACAATAATTGTCCTTAAAACTTGCCTTTGTTTCAATTTAAACTATTTAAAAAAAATATTTTATCTTTTGCAAAACTTTTTATTTAGTTTTAACTTGCAGATATATAAATAAATTTTTAAGTATTTTTAAAAAACTTACAAATTAATAAATTTTATTAAAATTATAAAATTAAACACAAAAAGCGGAAAATAACAGTTTAAATTGAGTATAGCAATATGAGGTTGAAAAAGAAGCATAATACTTTTGTATCTTAAGTAATATCGATAATTTATGGAAATTTTCAATAAATTACACAAAATGATTTTTGTACTTGAATTATATAATTTCTGAATGGATCAAAATATTTTTATTTTAGTCAAAGCATTGATATTGAGATAAGAATGAATGGGATGGAAACAACAACATATACATATAGCCCTAAATTTGAGGTAATAAATTTTATATGCATATAGATATAATTCTAAGTTTGAGGTAATAAATTCTATATGCGCATAGTAGATATAATCCTAAGTTTGAGGTAATAAATTTTATATACATATAGATATAATCCTAAGCTTGAGGTAATAAATTTTACATACATATAGATATAATCCTAAGTTTAAGGTAATGAATTTTATATGCATATAGATATAACCCAAAGTTTGAGGTAATAAATTTTACTTAAGTAAATTTCGTTTAAGGAGAAAAGTCTCTCAAAATGTGTTTGTTTAATTTTAATAAGCGAATAAAAAACTGAAACAACTAACTGATGATAAGTAACAGGTTTATTCAATGTAACAAAATTAAGAGTAATAATTAAAAAAGCAGCTTACAATATAATGCGACTCTCATAAGATACGTTTTTAATATTGACAGTCTAATGCCGCGATTTGTATCATTTAAATATAAATTTAAATGATAAAACTCGTGGTTTCAAAGCTGAAAATGGATTTAAACTCTTATTTCGGCACACTATAGACATTTAAGTTTACCGTAGCTTTCAAAAAGCACCAAGTACATCAGTAAAAATCCAGATGTTGTAAGATTAAGCCATTAAAATTTGTGAATGCTTGGTATTCCATCTATTGGCACATAAATAGAATGTTTGCCAATTCTGCGAGTTTTAGTAATTGCTTCTTAAAAAAATTTCTGCGCTATGATACAAACAAATTAGAAATGGGTGCAAATTTACTTATTGGTCTAATATTCGGTATTAGCTAAATATTTAATTTATTTATCTCATACTTGTTTGTGTGTAGAATTATAAACTTAACTAGATCTTTTAATTCAGCTCCTTTGAAAATAAAATATTGTTAAAATGGCATTCCGTGTAAAACAATGCCAATTTTTTGTATTAATATGTGCATTAAAAATAGTAGAAATTCTAAAAATTTGTGTAGATATTTGTTAAAATAAAACATATTATATTAATAGTATTTTTATCAATATTTTCATCAGTATTTTCATCAATTGTACTTATCAATATGTACTTAAAATCATAATTTGTAACTTCGAAACTAATAGAAGAAGAGAAAGGGATAAGTTAAGAATTGTGAAATAGCATCTTAGGCATGTATTTTTCAAGTCATTCCTAAGCGATTATTAATCACGTCTTTTTTTTTCTTTTTTTTTTAATATGCTTAAGTTTGTTAACAAAAAATTTTAACCAAATTGGAATGTTTTACAGCTTGTGTAGTTACGAACCCCCACATTTTATACAATTACGAATATGATATTTAAACATATGACATAATTAAAAACAATAATAGTTCATAAAATAATAAATATATTATTATAAATTTTACATTTGAATGAAATTCAATATGCCTAATCAACTTACAAAGCTAACTAATGTCATTTTTTTATTTTAGAGCGTAGAAATTTTCAGCTATATTGGTGGCTATATTGGAATTTGGCTTGGAGTATCATTGGTTGCTGCATTTGATTTCTTAGAAACAACCATCCTTATCATGAGCTATCCTGTCAAGAATTACAAAGAAAAACGAAAGAGGAACAGAAATATAGAAACGATAAAAAAGCCTTCGATGAATTTATAAACGCATTTATCCTTCACAACAAATTCTTCTCATCAAACTTTGAAATATTTCAAACTTAAAGTCAAAATATATTTACATGCAATTCAGTGAAGATGCATGCTATAACTTTGCTTATTTTGCGAGCTTTGTAAAAATTATTAAAGGGAATAAGGGAGATCATTTTTTCTAAACATGGGTGCTGGGAAAGTTAATTATTGCTATCTTTATGTGTTGCTTTAATGGAAAAGAAAGATAAAGTTGAATATATTGAATTTTAAGATTTCAATTAAGTAAAGCATGAAAGTAAAGAGTGTACAATTTCAACGCTCAGTGACAGCAGAAAAGTAAGAAAGGGAGGATACCAAATCGAGGAAGCTTCTCGGAACTACGAAATTAAGTTTTAGAACGGAGTGAGACAAGAGTTCTTGAAAATGGATGGATTGGCGTAAAATAGAATGAATAAATTTTGTATGAAATGAAATACTATAGGTAGGAGATCTTTGTGATGGTTGAATTTTGTTTTACTTTAATAAATTTTTGAATACTTTTCACTTCAAATTTCACTTTTTTCGATCATCTTAAAATAGTTTCTTGTTCATAAAGAACAATTAGTCGTAAGATCCAGACTTGGCGCTTTATTACCAACTTCACTGAATTTTATTCGATCGTAATGAATCCCTCCTGACGTCAAACTTCCTTGAATGTTAGTTTGGCGTATCCTGATCCCGTTTGGAACGAGGTTCTTAATGGAATAAGTACAATTTTCATTATGGCAGATTAAAGTGTAGATGAAATCTATATTCCAACAAGAGTTTGTTTATTTTAGAGGAAAATGTGGTGTTATTTTTTTATCATTCAGTTAGCTACTACTACAGGGGTTCAGCGGGGAAAAAGAATAGTTCAGTAGAAAAAAAGAACAAAATTAGATTTCAGTAGGAAATTTGTGGGGCATTTTTTCAGTGGGAAAAAAGAATTTCAGACTTTCCTGAACTCTCCCCGTTATAAAGAACAAGTTAGCTTTGTAAACTAAAAATAATTCGAAATGAAGAAAAATTTTATAAGATTAAATTTGATAAAAAATATTTTTTAACCTAAAATCAAATTTGATTATTTGTTCTTCGAGAAAAAAGTTTTTCAGGAACTTTCCGGAACCATGCAAAATTTTTAGAAACTCTCCTGCATATTACCTAAACTTTTCCTGAACTTTTTTTTAAAGTTTTTTCCAACCATTCTCATAAAGTTTATTTTTATCAACAAAAAAATTTCACATTTTATTCCTATAACAAATTTTTTCTCATTCCAAATTATTCATCAGTAACAAATATAACTTGCTCGTTATAACGAGAATTTTTGTATTAAAGCTTCTTTAATGATTGATAAAAGTCTCTGAAAAAGTTTAGGCTAATTTAGGAGACTCTTCAAAAAATGTTGTAAGTTTCAGGAAAGCAGAACAAATAATCAAACTTCAGAATTACTTTAACAAATTATTTTAATTTAAATTCTCGGTGACAAACCGAGCTTGTCTGTTATAAGGAAAGTTTATTAACAAGGTTGTTTGAAAAACACTAATGAGTGGAGAAGAGTTTTTGTTATATAAGGTTGTTTAAAAAAAAACATTGAATGTTTGAGGAAATTCTCTCGAATTTAGGTTCAGATAATGTGTAAGAATGTCCTTACAACACGTTCAGGAAAGTTTATAAAAAAACCTTTTTCCCGCAGAAGAAATAATCATATTTAATTTTTTATTAATAAAAAATTTTTATATTAAATTTATCTTTTATAACAATTTTTTTATTTCAAATTATTTATCGATAACAAAACTAACAAATTCGTTATAACGAGAGGTTTTGCAATAAGTTTGTTAAAAAATGCTTAATGGTTTAGATGCGAATTTAAGGGTACAAAAGTGGCACTTAAGCGAATCTAAGCGTCATTTGAGAGCGAAAAGTAAACATGCTAATTTAAGCTTATAAAAAGTTGTTGCAACAATAAAGATCTTATTTTTACTTCGAACGAGTGCCTAATAGGTAATTAAAAAATTATCCAACTAGTTTGCAAATTACTTGGATATTTTAAGAAAAAAAAATTATATCACTTTAATTTTCTTAATCACTTTAATTTTTTTTATCACTTTAAATTTTTTTATCACATGGATCATCCTTGTTACTCGATTTCAACACTTTTGTGATTGCATAACACCAAAAAACATTTTATTACCTTTTTTTTCTATAAAAATATATTTTGAATGCCTACATTTGACAAAGCAACCATAGTAAGAAAAAAAAATTTCAAATTGATCATTGTATTGTTAAATATCTATTGTTTGACAATAAATCAATTTATTAAAATTTTATCGGTAATAATAGGAACTGATGTTTGTATTTGCGACAAATCGGAAAAGCAGCCATCAGCACGCTCTTCTTAAAATCGACAAATACCCTAAAAATCATCAAACTTGTTTATTATCGTTCTAATTTAAATGTTTAGTCGTCATAACGTTTTAAATTTGCAAAACTATATTTTGTTGTAAAACAACTGAGAATTTTCATGGTTACTGCTGAAAATCTACCTAGAGGTTGGAGACCGTTATTTCTAAAATAATCGAAATTTTTAATCTTCTGTACTATATTCTTGAGACCTTTTTGTCAGTGTTTGTGCAAATTTCAAACTGGTATTACTGCGGCATCATGAAGAAAAATATTTTCTAGTCTTATAGTGATAAATCATGCAATAAATTTCGCATGCTGCGATAATTTAAGAACAAAGGTCCTATAAGAATATAATTTTTAAAATTTGGCACTCAAGATATAAACTCTTTTTTTTTTCTGAAAAATTTCTATTTTAAAGTTATTTAAAATAATTTAGGCGTGTTGCATGGTTCATAAAAGGCCATTAAAAACTAGATTAAGCAGCACAAAATTTAGCAAAGTAAAATAGTTCTAAAGTTACAACTATTTAAAAATAAAATTAAATGTTAAAAATTCTGAAATCTAAATTGACATGAAAAAGTTTATTTGTTTAAATTTAGCGAAAGTTTTTTTTTTAATATAAAAGGTACATGATAAAATTCGAAAATCATTTAAAATAGTAAACTTCACTGAACATTTATTAAATATTTTTTTTTTTAGCGATTAGAAATATTTCATTTAGGACTTTAATAACAATAACACCTGCCCACAGCCGTGTACTCGATCCTTTCTGATTCCAATAGTTAATAGCTGTGGCCGGAAATATAGAAAATTACTAGGCATCTTGATCTCACATATTTATCTTCCTTTTTTTCTTCAAAAGATTTATTCGCGCTTTATTTTTAAAACTCTCAGTACTAAGAAAGAGAAAGTGTCAACACATTTTATACACAACCTTAGAAATTAAATATTGGCTATAAAAAGCTCAAAATCATTTTAAACGAAAGATTTAGGGTATATTTCGTTCACCAGGAGTTGGCACTCATCTCCACCTCCTCAGACACAGAGTACATTTCAGAGCGGGAGTAAGGAGAGAAACATCTCCTCGCTTGAAATTGAGACAACCCTTAATGCGAGCAAAACACAAACACTTACTTTTTTTTCAGTCACTTACTCCGTTTTGGTTTTTCTAGCTAATTAAATATATTTTAAATTTAAAAACTGTTTTTTTTTCAGCAAAGTATCTCAAAAATGGTAAATTATTCACTCAAAAGAGAGAAATATCATTAAAAATGGCACAAAATATCATCAAATTTATGAAATACTTAATGTTAAAAAAAATGCAGATAAAGTTCGCGAAATAAATATTTTTGCCATACGATCGCCAAATAGCAGCCTTGTTCAGGATTGCTGCATTGCTCACAACCTTTTCCCAAAAATTCACGCATACCACATGATGAAGGCGGGGCCAAGTGCCAACTCTTGCTGGTGAACGAGCTATACCATAACCACCTACAAGGCTCTATGAGCCTCTTTCCAGCCTCTAAAAAAAAAGGTCTCTTTCAAAAGTTGTTAGTTGAAACTATTTTTTTTTCTTCGAGATATATTAATAGGAACTGTTAATTTTTTCTTTGTTTTCTTTTAGGTTTATGCCATAAACAGTTTTTATTTTTCAAACATTAAGCTAAGAAAGTAGCATTAGGAACAGTTTGATATAGCATTATCAAATGTTCGTAGTTGCCCTGATTTTCCTATTAAAAAAAAGTATTTGTTCCGATTTTTGCGTGTGTTCAGTACATTCCATAATAATCGATTAAAGAATAGAAAGGTTTAGACTTTTAATCCATCTTTTTTATTTTAATTAACAATTAGTAAAAAGTGCAAAATCCGATAATTCAAAGTTAGGGATCGTTCACTAATTTATAAACATAGTTAACGTATATGTCCTTCCCTGCAAGATTCCTTGTTTAAAATTTTTTGAAAATTAAGTAATTTTATATTTTACATTCTCAAAATTTCATGATGATGAATTCAGGTATCATACACTTAATTTATTTCTTAAAAAAATGATGTAACAAATCTTGTAGGAGAAAATTTTATACACTGGTGTCCAAATTTTTACACCAGAAACATGCGTTATGCTTAACTTTTAGACACCAGTTGTAAAATTATTGATTCCAATCAATAATACACTAATCTTATGACATAATTTTTAAATTATTAATTGAGGGATCATCAATTAAATGGCTTTTGTGCAAAAATAATAAGCGTGTTTTTGTTTCGAAATTATTGAATCCTTCTTCATTGTTGATAAAATAAAGTAGATTACTATTTTACTGAGTTAAGTAAAATAGGGAATATTGATTAACCCTTTAAAGGGCCCTTTATTTCTAGTAAAGGTAAATTAAAGTATTTTTGGAATTGAAATTGTTTTAAGAACAGTAATTGATATTAAAAAAAAGAACTCATTTAGTTTATAAAAATGCCATTTTTTTGGTGGTAAATATATAAGATAACCTATTTATAAGATGGTAATATATAAGATGGCTGCGAGCTTCAAAAGGAATTATGTATTTTATAACTTTTATACGTTTTTTAAAAGTGACAAATGGTTACCAATTTTATTCAAACTCACTTCAAGAAAGCTGAAGTTATTGAAAAATGGAAACCTTAATTAAAAGTGGTAAAACGTGGTGGTAAGTATACTTACCACGGCCTTCAAAAGGGTTAAAGCTGGTTATTTTTTAATGCAACTGTACTATAAAACATTTTTATACATTAATCTCAAA